TGGTGTAGGAATACTAATATATCCGAATGTTATCACTATATTCTTATTCCTCTATAGCATTTCTTTTTCAAAGATTTATTTATTTATGCATAGAAGAATTGGGGTGTAAGAGGTATTTCACCATAGACAGAGTGGGGATCAGAACACTGAAATACAGAGCTAAGGGCAACAGTGGGTGAGACAGGAGAGGTCTGCGCAACATGGGTCCACTGCCTGGCTGGGGATGGAATTCAGGGCGTAAAGGTGATAGCACTGAGACTTAACCCACTATGCCACCAGGGAGTCCCCACCCCCTATAGCATTTCTCAGTTGTGCTGGAATATGAGTTAGAGTTTCTCCCTTTGGGTTGGTTTCAGCGAGATTCTGTGGGGAATCTAGTGGGAGTTTATATAATCAACTTTGCTCAGATTTCTAGAGTTGTCAATCTTTTTTTTTTTTTCCTTATGGGAAAAATTGCTGATGTTTAATTAATTTATTTTTAAAAATTTATTTTCTTTATTTATGCATACGAGAGCTGGGGTGTAGGCCGGCTCTTTTGTCAGGGATATATACCTAGAACTCAGTGGGAACTGAAAAATGTTCACAACGAGTAGACTAAGGGTGAAAGAGGAATGTTTTTAAAATGGGTAGGACAAATAAAAATTTTATAGCCCAATTAGACTATTTGCAACTTAATGATTTTTAATGCTATTGGGTTTCAACAGTCTACAGAATAGACTAAGCAATTTTTTTCTCTATTCCTGAGGCCTAGTTTTTTCTAGATGGAATGCAGGCTAAACTGCTACTTCTTGTCTCCCTTTTCATAGAAAAATGATGGACTCTGGACAGATTGATTTCTACCAGCATGACAAGGTTTGCTCTAATACCTGCAGAAGCACCAAATTTGATCTTCTGATCAGCAGTGCAAGAGCACCAGTGCCAGGACAGCAGACAAGTGTGGTGCAGACACCCACTTCGGCTGATGGTAGGGGGTAGGAAACCACCTGACAACCCACTGTGTTTTTCAGCAGCACTTTCCCCCTCATTTTTATTTGTGTTTCTTAATTTCAATGGCCGTGAGCATTTGTGTTCTGTAAGGTATGGTAATCTTGGATGGGGTTCCATACTTCAGAAAGTGTTTTCTCCCAAATGATTCCTGTTGACCAAACTGCCTTCCTTGTTTCTTTTTTTAAATGCACGGTAAATATTAGAAGATAGCTTAGTAGTTATAGTGCTCATACAGAGTCTCATGTTCATGCCACTTGGAATCTCTAAGCTTTGAAAATCATGTCTTCTCTTAGTGGTCAAGGCAAGAAGGTGGATTAAATGATAAATGATTTTAGCCCTTGAACTGAGATATTATCAAAGGCATTGTGTTGCTGGCTGGGACAGGCTCAGACAGTATGCAGTAAGGATTAAAGAGCTATACCTGAAGGGATCCAGACGATCACGCTGAGCTTTCCTCACCAGTGAGACAGGATAGGCACACATTTAACAACAGTACTGCTGAGTTTGGTATTAGGGATCTCAGCCACCCAGGAAAGATAAAGCCACATGAGATTATTATAAAGGATTCAGTTAGTCCAGTTGCATAGAATGTGTCTCAGTTGCTTCCAGAAGACTTAAAAACATGCCTTCCAGAGTTGCAAGAAGGCTAAAGACAATAACGGATTAGGGAAATACTGTGCTTTGAGAATGACTTCTTGAGGTTTCTTTTGGTCAGTCCTAATACACTGTGAGTAACATGGGGTGAGAAGAAGCCAAATCCCTTGAAACCTACGTCTTTTTCAGGAAAGTATAAAATACCTAGCAGTTTGACTTTTCCATTTTGTGGCTCTTTTACATAGTGAAAAGTAAAAAGTAATGTGAACTATTTACATCTTTTTTATTTGGTCCAAACTCCTCTACTTGATCATCTGTATTGATAGTTTTTTTTTTACTGGATTATTGATATCTTCCTATATGGAGTGCCCACACTTACCTGGTCTTGATTGGTTTGATTTTTCTCAGTTCTTTGCTCATTAATCCCAATGCACAACTGATACAAAAGGTTTTTTTCTCTGTGAATCTGCTGTCCATGGGTCTCTTCTGAACTGTTTTCAGGCTAGATGGTTAAAGTAATGGTTTCTTTGGCAGTGAGTATGTGATAGAGGATAGTGCTGACTTTTTCATAAAATCATTGGTCTTACTTTAATGGCCACTTTCAGGTAGCATCACACAGATTGCCATCTCTGAAGAGAGCATGGAAGAGGCAGGGTTGGAATGGAACTCAGCTCTCACTGCTGCTGTCACCATGGCCACAGAAGAGGGTGTGAAGAAAGATTCAGAGGAAATTTCAGGTACTTTTCTGTGCATTTCAGACATCTTGCAGGGGTGTGTGACTCTTATCACTGTATGAAGAGGGACACAGAAGACCCCTTCGTTATGTTTGTTGCTTGTTCATATGCATAGTATAATAATTATAGGTGCGCACACATTATTTTAATCTATGGGAAATCCTTCAAAGTCACATTTTACACATGAAGAAATTGAGGTTTAGAAAGGTTGAAGAACTCACTATAGACCAGTCATGCAACAAATAAGTATCAGAGCTAAATCAACTGTTTGACTCTGTAGTCCATGCTTGTCATCTGTTAAACTGCCTTCAACTTCAGCACATTTCTGAGATAAGCTAAACTGCACAATGTAGAAGAAAAAGGTAGCAGGGGTAGAGGATGGTGATTAATGTTGAGAGAACTGAAGAGGCTTCTTGTCATCTTCCATCATTAATTCATATAACAAATTTTATTGCCTATTTTTAGTTGTCAGTGTTCCTAGATGCTAAGCCTCTGCCCTCAGGGAGTTTATAATACCACTTGTTCAATTGTTTTTAAGTGGAGAGGGGAGTGAGGAAAGGTTGTGTATCGAATTTGTTTATTACTTAACTTTCAAAATAATTATCTTGTTTAAAAATATTGAGTATTTGGGGTCCTGCCTGGGAGCACAGCAGGTTAAAGCACTGTGAAGCTAGCTGCAGCTGCTTCGGCATGAGCTCGATCCCTGGCCAGGGAAGTGACCCACATGGCGTGGCAGACCTCTCCTGACCCGCCTACTGCTCCACTCGGCTGTGTACTTTGTCAATCTGCCTGTTCTGCTCCCGACTCTGTCTCTGGTGAATCCGCTCAATTCCCCTGCACTACTGGCCTGTATCCCAGTTCTGTATGCATAAGTAAATAAATCTAAAAAAATTGAATATTAAATTTTTTTTTTTTTAAGATTTATTTATTTGTGCATACAGAACTGGGGTACAGGCCAGAGGCTCAGGGGCGGCGAGAGGCTTCACCAGAGACAGAGTGGGGAGCAGAACAGGCAGATCGATGAAGTACACTGCTGAGGGGAACAGGGGCGGGCCAGGAGAGGTCTGCCACGCCATGTGGTCACCTCCGGGGCAGGCGGCAATCGAACTCATGCGGAAGCGGCTTTAGATTCTCAGTGCTGTGCCTCAACCCGCTGCGCCACCAGGGAGGGCCTGAATATTAAATTTTAAGTTAAATTATTTAAAGAGTATTTAATAACTTTATTAGAGAAGATTCCTGTTCTTATAACCAAAGCCATGACCTGAGGCCATGCTAAAATGAGACAATTATTCCAAATCTCTCTGCTTTTGAAGAAGCCAGATCACTAGTACCAACTCTAACAGGCACTTTGTGTTCCCAAAATTTCCTCCTTTTCCCCTGGAAAAACCCAGTAAGAAATCCTTTTGCAGTGAAATTACTTTGAATTTAACACATTGTATAGATGTGTCTCTTTATATGTAGCATTCCTAGTTTACTGTCTTATTCCTCTTGTGCCAGAGGACACTTTGATGTTCTGGAAGGGAATAGCTGATGTAGGACTGATGGAAGAGGTTGTCTGCAATATACAGAAGGAAATAGAGGAGCTACTCAGGGGGGTTCAGCAGCGGCTCATTCAGGCACCCTTCCAGGTCACAGGTAAGTGAACAACGAACAGTAACTGTCATATATTAAACACTAACAATTATTGCCAGATCCTGCTTCCTTCATGAAAACACTGTAGTATAGGTGTTATTGTTTCTGTTGTATGGGTTAGGAAATTTTGGCTTATAAAGTTAAGTCCAAAGTTTATAACGGGATTTTGAACTCAAGTCTGGCCATGCTTTTCCACAGGTAACTTTTGCCTGATGCCCAAGAATGCAGTGTGTGTGTGCGCGCACACATAAACTCTGAAAATTGGAGAAGTATTTGTACACCTGGTTTTAGAAAACTTTTTTTTTTATGATCTACTCTTAATAAGGCTTCTAGAACCATTGTGTTCCCCTTACAGCTATTTCTTAGTACTTATTGGGTGCTTGCTTCTATACAGAAGGTAAAAGGAAGGTTCAGACATCTAACACAAATAGGGTTATGATCAAATTTCATAATCTTATGCCTTCAGTGAGTTTTTCCTTAGAATTTGTACATTATGTGAATATATTTAAATTTTATAGCAAAATAATTTTACATGCATAGAGTTTATAAAAGACAAGTGATATACAAAGCAGGGTGACTCTTTTGGGTAGTGGCGAAGTAGGGTTTCTTTAGGGGGTCATTTAAGCAGAGACCTGAGTGGAAGGAGCTATCCATGTGATGAGCTGGGAGAAGGAACATTCCAGACCAAGGGAACAAAGATCTTGAAGGGGCAATGTACCTGGTGAGTTCAAAGACTTACAGAAGCACTCACAGTGGAGAGTTTGGGGAGAATGATAAGAGAAAGTGATAAGAATTATTTATATATTTTTAAAAAGAGTGTGTAGAGAGCAGACTCTTTGGGGCAACAGTAGAAACAAGAACACCTTTTGGGAGGCTCTTGAAGGAATTAGTCCAGACAAGAGATGATGGTGGCATGGATTCAAGTGGGTAATAGGAGAGCTGGGAAGAAGTGATTCAAAAGTTTTAAATGTGAGGCCTCTCTGGTGACACAGCGGTTAAAATCTGAATGCTATCAAGCTATTGCAGCATGAGTTCCATCCTAGCCAGGAAGGTGACCCACATGGCTCAGCAGAGCTCTCCTGTCTTAACCCACTGCTCCCCTCATCAGTGTATTTCAGTGAATCCACCTGTTCTGCTCCCCACTGTCTTTGGTGAATCTTCTCACATTCTTGCATCTCTGGCCCATACCCCAGTTCTTGTATGCATAGATAAATAAAAATCTTGATTTTTTTTTTTTTTTAATGACAATAAAAACAGTCCCATCATTTCTAGGTTTATAAGTAGCATATCAGGGAGCTGGTGAACGTTCATTTTAATTTGACAGACATGTATTTTGTTTTAAATAGATGCTGCTGTTCTCAACAACGTAGCACATACATTTGGCCTAATGGACACGATCAAGAAGGTTTTGGACAACAGAAGGAACCAAGTAGAGCAAGGAGAGGAGCAGTTTCTCTATGCTTTGACAGGTGTGTGAGTACAGCTTTCTCTTTTGTTAGGCGATATCATTCTCAAACCCTGAGTCTTCTCATTCCTTTGTTGACTTCTGTTAGAACTGGCTGTTCTTTCCTTTTTTCCTTTCCTTTCTTTCAATTCATATAGAATCAGATTTTGCTTTTTTTTTGTACACAGATACAGATGAGGTAGGATAGTGGGAGCAGACGCTACTCATAGGAAAACAGAAAGAAGCCAGGAGCAGGGCCCTTTATCTCTTTTATATTAACACTGCATCAAAGGATGATACCGTATCCTTTGATAGATGTAAATTTAGCACTTTATCCATTGTTTTTATTGTTCACATAACCACAAACTATCATACTACATGGATAATTTAAATCGCTTTATTAAGCACTTACTTCTGTACTGTTTTTGAAAGTTTCAGAAATAGGATATTGAATAAGACAGTCCCAGTCTTTTCAGTGGCTTCGAGGAACTCAAGAGAAAACAGACAGAAATAAGTGCAAAAAGTGTATATTCATGTCCCTCATAGCGGATGTAGTGAAGAACAAGAGAAGCTGTAGGAGGAGTTAAGGCCGGTGAAGGATAGAAGTCAGAGGTGGTGGGTATCAGCTTTTGAGTGATACAAGATACAATCAGCCATGAAGCCAAGAAGTAAAAGAAGAATGACTAAGGTTGTTTTTACCTTATTTCTATACCAAATTTATATTTTAAAATTCGGGTATTTGTATATTCTTAGAAATGGCCCTTTTTCATTTGCTTCTTCTAAGAATGTTGAGATGGATTCCTGTAAAGTGGATTTGAATTCTCACTTCTGTAACTCTCAGGGACTTCCCTTATAACTTTCTGTAGACTTTTCTGGGTACTAATGGCACACACGGGCCATTTGAGTCACCAGCAAGGTGATCATCTTTGTAGGACCATTTGGAAATTACTGCTTTTCAGAGTGCCCACTGTAACTTCTTTATAGGTTCATGGCAGCTCCAAAGAGATTGTGCAGCTATTATTTTCATCTGTAGATCTAGGCAGGGCATATAAATGTTTCTAAGCCAACTGGCGACTTTTGGTGATAGAATGTGATTCACTGTTAAAGAGTTGAATTATAGTAGATTCACAGCCTGAAAAAGCACCTACATTTTTGCCCTGGCTATTATCTCAGAATGAAATGTAGTTGCTGGAAGGATTTTGAAAATCATCTAGTCTATTCTATTCATTTAAAAACAAATAAGTAACTTGCCTGAGGCTACATAGGACAAGATCCTAAGCCTGCTGATTCCCAATTTACTGTTCCCAATATTATATTTTCTTCCATACAAAGTCTGTCTTATTCCCATAGATTTAGAACGCCAGTTAGAAGAGCAGAAGAAGCAAGCTCAGGATCACAGGCTGAAATCACAGACAGTTCAAAATGTGGTACTGATGCCTGTGAGCACTCCTAAGCCTCCAAAGAGGCCCCGGCTCCAGCGGCCTGCCTCCACCACCGTCCTGAGTCCTTCTCCTCCTGTCCAGCAGCCTCAGTTCACAGTCATCTCACCCATCACCATCACCCCAGTGGGTCAGTCATTTTCCATGGGCAATATTCCAGTGGCCACCCTCAGCCAGGGCTCCAGTCCTGTGACTGTCCACACACTGCCTTCTGGGCCTCAGCTCTTCCGCTATGCCACAGTGGTCTCCTCTGCCAAGAGCAGCTCACCAGACACAGTGACCATTCACCCTTCGTCTAGCTTGGCACTGCTAAGCTCCCCTGCTGTGCCGGATGGGAGTACCCTGGGCAACATGACCACCATGGTGAGCCCTATGGAATTGGTGACCATGGAGTCCGGCCTGACTTCAGCGATCCAGGCTGTTGAAAGCACCTCAGAGGACGGGCAGACCATCATTGAGATTGATCCAGCCCCAGACCCAGAGGCTGAGGATACTGAGGGCAAAGCTGTCATTTTGGAGACAGAGCTGAGGACTGAGGAGAAAGTGGTGGCTGAGATGGAAGAACACCAGCATCAAGTCCACAATGTGGAGATTGTGGTCTTGGAGGATTAACTGGGGATCTTGGGGCCAGGAGAAATGTTTTGGTTTGGAATTTTAATTATTTGTTTATTTTTATCATTGTCCCACTCATTTCCACATAGGATGCCCCCCCTTTTTTTTAAAAAAAAACACAACAAAATCTCATTGCTGTAACTGAAATGTTGGGTCTCTCCCACCCCATCATTGAAAAATGGACAAAAATAAGCTGCCCTTCCAGAAGTTAAGAGTAGGTCACTCAGTGTCTTACCCCTTTTACACCAAGAATGTTATTTCTTTTAGGGAAGGCGTTAATATAACCAGAAATCCCATCCAGAAAGCCCTTTTCAGACAGGTCTGTGTATGCATGTTGTTTTATCCTTGTAAAGATGCATTGACCAATCTCTGGAACACAGATCTGATACTGGAAGGTAACCTGCTCATCTACGGGTACAGGAAGATACTTTATTTTGTATCCTGGAAAGGGCCCTCAGAGGCCAGGCAAAACTCTGAAACAAAAGGAAGTTGAACTCTGCTTGGAGGGGAAGGTGGCATACCAGCTTAAAAGGGAAGTGCGTTGGCCAGGATGAGGCGGAAATTATCTGCCAGAAGTGCAACTGATGCCTCTTGAGCTCTCTGAGGGTTGCTAGCCTGGGTACCAGGAGAGGCTGGTGATAAGTGGAAGGTGCATCTCTGCAGAGGAAGTGGCATCAGGAACCAGGGGTTCCACAGAATCAGAAATCCAGAGGTCACAGCTATGCTGTAGGATTTGAGCTGGTAGCCCAACTTGTCCTCCACTTTCAAAGCACTTACTGTCCTAAACTAGGACCAGTCCATTCATCCCAAACTCTGAGGTGGTATAAGTTGCTCTGGTTCTTGAACTGGGGCTATCGGGGTTGGGCCCCAAGGCAATGTTTGTGCTGCATGATTGTCAGAGCAGTGGAGTTCCTCATCCAGATCAGCTGTCTTTTTTTGATGGGGCCCCCTTTTGGCTTTGGAACCAAAAGCAGCCACTCATTTGGTGCTTCCTCTTGTTATCCTCCTTCACTCAACTGTTAATGGCATCTGTCTCCCAGATCCCACGCTCTTCAGCTTTTTGGCTGATTTGGTGAACAGTGACAGGTGCCTGGCTGTCTTCATCCCCATTTAGATTCATTTATACCACAGACGTTTCTGTGAAATAGTGAGCTCATAAAAAAGCCTTAGGCTTGGCAGGGAAGACTTGACACCCCCAGCCTATCCTTAAGTACTGAGTAGATGTCTCCTCCTGAGTGAGCTGGACTCCCTGGGAAAGAAGCATTATATGCAACATTATATTATAGGAAATGTACCAGGAATGTTAATAATAATGTCTTCGGGGTGAGGGGTGAGAGGACTTTATTTCCTTTTTTTTTTTTTTTTTTTAATATTGTTTGTATATTTTAGAGTTGGGCCATTTTTCATGCTGTGATTCTCTGACCTGAATTTTCAGTGTTTGGGGCAAGAGTGGACCTGGTTTTTATTTCTTTGGCTGCATTGTTTATTGCACTAGGAAAAACATAGGGAAACTGCAGACAATTTAAAGGACAATTAGGTCAAAAAGAAAACACCTTAGGAATGGAAGACCTTTTTTTTTTTTTTTTTTTAATTACAAGCAAAACTTTGATCTGTAGCTTCCTTTTTTTAAAGAAGTCACCCACCTGAAGCCATGTTTCTTCCAACAAGTGTTGGAAACCCTTGTCGAGCAAGCAGCACCCAAGCCACCACCCTCCATGGCTGTGTATCGCTGGAGGAGCCCTCTGGTTTGGGGGGGGTGGTCAATCTGGAAAACCCGAGGATGAGATTTCTGAATCCCACATAGTTGTGGTTTTCAGCTTTAAAGTTTTCTGGATTTTTTTTTTCCTTTTAAAAATATCCGATGTGGCAGTCATCTTAGAACATACCTTTGGCCCTTTATATATTTTTAGTAAGGAAACTGGCTTTTATTTCTTGCTTTCTTTAGTTTTTCTGTTGGTACATTGACAAAGAAAATTTTATCTAAGCCTAAAACTACTACTTGAACGTAGAAAGACATGTGTCATCTCTGTTGTGGTTTTTAGGGATACTTCTACAAAGTGTCTCTTTCCCAGAGAGGAAAGGCTCAATTCAGGACAGAAGAGCCCTAGAGAACACCTACAGGCTAGCCCAGGCCCCTTCTTTCCTCTGTCAGAGCTGTCAGTCATGTTTTCAAGTAGCATGAGCATCATGCTTCCAAAACCAGGAGATCTTCTAAAGACCGAGTCTGTTTACTCTCACTATCTGATTATTCTGGCTGGTGAAAATACATGAGCTTTGTTTTTCTGGTCTTCCAATAGCCTGTCATTATTGTTACATATGATGGCACCTGTGGGATGTGGGATTTCTCCCAGCGCTGGTTTAGATGATCTCAAATGGGGTAAAACCTATGCAAGCCATTGGGTTGCAGTGAATCATTCCTCAGACTGGCTTACAGTAGCCATGTTCCTTTCTGTTCCTTCATTAATAAACACTTATTAGTATTCTCTATGTACCAGGCTTTGTGCTAGGCACAGGCAAGCATAGAGATGACGACACAGTCCCTACTCTCAAGGAATTCACCCTGTATTGTTTGTCTCGAGTTAAGAACTGTATTTCAACATAATTGGTCTCCATTGTAATCCTGTATATGTTTTCCAATTCACTGAAAATCATTATCACGAGAATTAGTCCCTAGGTTTCAGCAGTCTATCAAAAGCACGAAAAGGTTAAGCCCTTCTCTGGTGAAATCCTGGAATGTGTCTTCATATTGGGGTAAGTGCAGTGATAGTACTATTGTCTGGGAACTGAGAGAACAAAAGGATGAAGCACTTAACACAGCTTGGGAGCAAATGGTCAGCAAGGATGGGAGTGTGTCTTGGAGTGCGCCCATGTGAACAGAGAAGCCGTGAGTCACCAGCACGCAAGCTGATGGAGGAGACCAGTTTTGATATTCCATTGTTAAGTAATTGGGCTTGTTGATATCAGAGAAGAGATTCGCAGTCTCTCACTGCTTTTGCCTCCAGAGCTAGGCAGTGGCCAGTACTGGCAATCTCTCCTGAGAGCACTACACTAAAAAACGCAAGTCACTTCTTTTTCCAATTTTCCATTAGATGAATACAGTGCAGGACTGCAGCTAACTGGTGGAAAGTATATGCCCCAAAGCTTTTTGCCATGTGGTTTCCTCAAAGACCTCAAGCCACTGTCCAACTCCTTGCCCATGTCCCTGTCCCCACCCTTCTTTCTCCCCCCTTTTTGTTTGCAGATTCCTTCTCTGCCCATTCCCAAAGAAAACAAAACTCCCAGTCATTCTGAATTTAAAGATGGACAATAGATTAGACTACTCAGTCACTTCATGGAAATTCCTTTCACACCTCTGTCCACCTGAGGGCAAGAGGACCAATGTTAGTGCAAATACCTTGGAAGTTAGTACTCAGTTCAGGTGGTCTGATACCATTCGGTTGTGGTATTTTCCTGAAAGGCACAAAAGGTAAGTCTTTGTCTTGAGAGTATTGGTTTTGATGACATTTGATTATAAAGGCAGTAAAATCAAGCATGAGATAATGGAATTACTAGTTCATTGAGTTATGACAGGTCTGGGTTTTAGGACTATCAAGGAAGTAGAAAGGATAAAGGAAAGATTGAATTCTGAAAGTGAACCTAAAGTTGTGGTTCATTCTGGTCAATACTCCTAAGGTGTTGGTCCCCTGAGACAAAAAAAGTCAGATACTTGGTTAGCTCCTGTGTTTTCAGACAACTTTTCCATTAACAGTTGATTGCAGATCCCTCACACCTAGGTTAACTCCTCCCTGGGAAATCCTGACACACTGTAATATATTACAGTGACAACTGTGGTGGTTGCATGAGACAAGGCATGAGTTTTGCCAGATTTGGGTTCTTTGCTTCTTAAATTTACCTTCTTAGAAGCCCTGTCTAGGTTTTCTTCCCAATCTTGGGACACCTTTCTTAGTCCTGCGCTCTGTAATGACTTTAGAAAATTCTACCCTCGGGCTCTGCCTGGTGGTGCAAAGTGTTAAATTACTGCACTATGAAGCTCAGAAGCCACTGCAGCACAAATTTGATCCCCAGCTGGGGAGCTGACCCACATGGCACTGCAGACCTCCCCTGACCTGCCAGCTGCTCCCCTCAGCAGTGTACTTCAGTAGATCTGCCCGTTCTGCCCCTTGCACTGTCTCTGGTAAATCCTCTGGCCCGTACCCCAGTTCTGTAAGCATAAATAAAGCTTTAAAAAAAAAATTCTACCCTCTTCAAATTTCCTATCCATATTTCTACTTTTCTAGCCCTGTCTAGAGAAATGAGATTTAGTTCCCAAAGTCCACTCACTTAGTAACTCTACTTTTCTGCCATATCAGTAACTCTAAGCTTTTAGATAATCATCTCTCGTGAGAGTTCCCTAGGGCTCAAACCTTAGCATACACCAGAGACCGAATTGAAGCACCTTTGGGATATGTTTATGCCATAACTATATGTAAGTTCCACAGAACACATGGGTTCTAAAATCTAGCTTTAAAAAAAAAGATTTATTTATACATAGAAGAACTGGGATGTAGGCCAAAGGTGCAGGGGGTGAGAGCATTCACCAGAGAAGGTATCTACTGAACTACACTGCTGAGATGGGAGACAGTAAGCACCATGTGGGTCAGCTTCCTGGCTGGGGATTGAACTCATGCTGCAGTGGCTGCTGATAGCTCTATAGGCCTAAGACTAACCCTGTGCTACCAGGGAGCCCCCCAAAATCTAACTTTTATGCTCAATTCTCTACCTGTGGTCAGTGGTGCAGGCTAAGACATTCCTATTTGCTGGATAAATTATTTCAGCCTGGTGTGAGTCCTACAGCTACCTGAAATTTCTTTTAAGTCTTAGGCCCTTCTCAACTTAAAAGACTTCTGATGCCCTCTCAACCTTACAGCACACACCTTGCTTTGAAATTGCTCTGGGCTCTCCTGCATCTTTGGTTTCCAGTCCAATGCCTTTACCAGTAGTTACGGCTTGAAATATGGCATATATGGTTTTATTTTTCACATTTTGAGAACAAGAATGAACAATATATTGGATCACATATAAGGGTAAGTGTGAAGCTGGCTAAGACCCAGAAGGAAAGACCAGTTCCTCATTGGCCTCTGTCAGAGTTTCTCTACGGAATGCATATATAGAAGAGGTTTAGCTACATTCCAAGGCATGGTTTCCTTTTTTCTCTGAAGAAATGTGTCATGCAAACGGGAAGTTCACACCATGACTCACTTTTGACTTAACTTTGCCACATTTTTGTTTCATTTTAACTTTTTATTGAGGTATACATGTATATAGGAAAGTACTCAAATCATAATTGTACCATTTAATAAATTTAATAGACTGAATCAACCTGTGAAATCAACTTCCAGATCAGGGGAAGACAAACTAGCAACAGCCAGGGTCCTGTTATCTACCTCTCTAATTACCATAGCTTAATTTTGCCTTTTTTTTTTCTATATCCAAAAGGGCAGATTTATTATAAAAATGGAAAATAAAGACACTTACACAATCAAAAGCAGGCAGAAAGTACTACCCCAGAAAGGGAGGCCTGCTTAGTCACAGGCGGGCAGCCTTGGGACCAGCTGCCTCTGCTGCTTTGCAAAGGGAGGTTGGCGACGAAAAGCACCTACATAGGACCAGTCAGGAATACTGTCAATGTTACCTTTATGAACTCTTGTAACTGGCTTTTTTTCACTCAACATGTTGTTTGTGAGGTTCATCTATAGTGCAGTTGTAGCTGGTTCTTCTCACTGCAGTGCAGAAGCTGACTGCCACAGGTCACCCATTCTAACGACGGGGTCATTATGAGAAATGCCCCCGACATTACTGCACGTCTTCTGATGAACAGTGGATGTATTTATGCCTGCACAGTTTCAGACCTTAGGACAGTTCATATAAAAAACTCAAAACTACAGTTTTTTCTTAAACCACCTATTTGACAACACTGGACCCACATTTCCTCAAATCAACACTTGAACTGAGGCCTGCCTGAGATGGGGTGAGGCTGCTTCATGAACTCTGCAAGCCTCCATTATGAATGGAGACCTACTTATTTTAGTAGCTGTATTTATTAGTCTTAGAACACTCTTTCCCCAGATAGCTGCAAAGCTTATTTCCTCACTTCCTTCAAGTCTATTCACATAATACCTTATCAGAGAGGATTTCCTTGACCATCAACCCCATAAAAATGGCAACTTACCACCATACTACGCTTCCTGTTTTTCTTTACCCTGCTTTTATTTTCTCCATCTTACTGGCATACATTTATTTTCTCCCCTAACTAGAATGGGAAGCTCTGAGAGGGAAGGTGGCTTTTGTCTCTGTCTCTTAATCACTGCTGTTTCTACAGTCCCTGGAGCTGTGCCTGCATGGCATAGATGCTCTATAGATACTTGATGCATAGATGATAACAACAACAATAATAACAATAGCCTATATTTACAGAGGAATAACTGTACCAATTTGATCTTTACAACAACCTTCTATGATAGATGGCAGTAATTTCTCCATTTTATGAGGAAACAGTTATAGTCCAAACAACAGCAACCCTTGAAACATTGTGTAACAATTCATTGAAC